GTCTAGCCACACTGCTGACCCCAGGGGCCTTCGAGCCTCTGGACAGAGCCTTAGCCCTCCCCCCCGCCCCCTCCCCACCTACCTGGTAGAGGCCTCCGGCCGCCCCAAGGTACTCAGAGCTGGGCAGGCTGTGCTGCCGCTCGAACCCAGTGCGACACACCCCGTTGGGCTGCCTGGCGGCGGCGGCCAGGCAGTGGTCACTGGTGGATGGGGTCATGGCCGCAGGGCTGGAGGCGGAGGGGCCCCTGCGGGACAGCGTCTCCTTCCGGTGGTGGATCAGCTTCCTGCCGGGGAACGGGGCCCTGGGGTCACCTCACAGCTCCCCGTTTTCACGTGCTCCCTGTGGGATGCTGCCCCCAGCCCAGGACCTTCCCCCTCCGGCATCTCCACCCACTCGGCCCTCCCCCAGCTCAGCCCGGGCACCTCCCTGGTACCCCTGGGGGACCCCACTCACTGGAGGACCCCGCGCTGCTCCAGGCTGTACTTGCCGCCCTCCCGCATGGCTGCGTTGTGCACAGCCTCGATGGCCCGGTCGATGGCTTGGAGGACGTCCTGCTCCAGGCCCTGGGGGGGAGGGAGGGGGGGAGGCGATCAGACCAGGGGCCAGGGAAGGGCACTGACCCAGGCCCAGGCTGGATGGAGCCGGGGCAGACAGCACCCCTGCAGCCGGAGCCCCGAGTGCTGGACGCTGGACGGGGACACGGAGAGCCCGAGGGGAATCCCAACCGGCTCTCAAGGGGAGCTGGGGCGGGTCCCACTCAGGGGTTCACCCCAGTGAGGTTCTCAGCTAAGATGTCTGAAAACCAGGCGCCCAGAGCAAAAACAGACCAGGGACCCCAGCTGAGGCCGGGGGGACACGCAGTCCCTCCCCAGCTGGACCCCGGCTCAGGCTGAGATGCCCAGCAGGGAGCCCTAGTGTCCGGGTCCTTTAACAAGTCACCCTGGGTCCTGTTGACCCTCCACAAAACCAAGGTCACACTCCCACGCAGCCTGTGCTCACGGAGCCTCTGCAGGCCCTGGCAGCGACCATCTCCCCTCCCCTCCCCTGCCCCCAGCCCTCCCCTCCCCTCCCCTGCCTCCCCTGCTCCCAGCCTCATCTCCCCCGCTGTCCCAGGAATCTTTCAGGCCACCCGGGAAGCAGCAGTGCTGTGCTGGTGGCAGTGGATGGACATAATTATGAGAGGGGCCTGGCCCCTGCCCCAGAGTTTGAGTTGCCATCCTCAGCACGTCACAGCCCAAAAGACCCGGCCTGCCTGGCACGGGATGGGGAGCAGGGGGGGCAGCAGCAGGACCGGCCCCTCACCCCTCCCCTGCTCCTGGCACACGGGGTCCATCAGGCTCCAGGCAGAAAGGGGAACAGAAACACACACACACACACAGGCAGTAAGAGACACGGAGACGAGAGAGGGGGTGGGGAGACAGGCCGAGGGAGACAAGAGACTGAGCGGGAGGCAGCAGGGCGAGCGGGAGGAGGAAAGACACGGGGGACCAGAGTGAGCGGGTTAGGGAAACTGAGGCAGGGAGCGGTGCAGAAAGAAACCAAGACACAGAGAAGATGGGAGCCTCCCTGACCCCCAAACTCCCAGCCCTACGGGCCTGGCCAGGGAGGGGCTCACAGAACCATGAACGAGAGACTGTGCAGCCCAGCAGCCCACCGGCCGCACTCCCCGCTGTCACTCCAGGCGCTGCGAGACGGGTCAGGCCGAGGGTCCAGGCCCCGGGCCGTCCCTCTGGTGAGGCCAGATGACATCTCCAAATTTATCCTGTTATTTCCGTCCTGAACTGGGCGGGACAGGGTGCTTCCCAAAGGCCATGGATTAGGGCAGCAGGGGGGTGTCTGGCCCTAAGGCTGCAGGCCTCCCTCCGCTGTGGTCAGACTGGACCAGCTGGAGACACTGCACCCCAAGAGCAGGGGGAGCCACGGGGAGGTCCCACTTCCTCACAGGGCAGCGGCCCCCACTCCAGGCTGGAGGAGGGAGGGAGCACCCTCACTTTCAAAGAACAAAGTCTGAAAAGGCAGGACCTGAGGCTTGGGGGGTGGAGGGGTGGCAGGAAGTGTCCGCAGGGGCTGGGGCCCTTGGTTCAAATGGGTGGGTGGGTGGTCTTAGGCAGCGCTTAGGGGGGGCCGAGAATAGGACAGTGGAAGACACCGGGTCTCAGGGCTTCGGGGATCACCTAGGGGATGGGGTGCTCATGGCTCCAGGGTGCCCAGGGTCTGAGCTGGGGGTGAGGACATGGAGGAGGGCTGGGGAACAGGCGGTGTCTCGGTGGTGGAAGCGGGGGCTCCAGTTGGGGGTCTGAGGGTGGGAGGCAAGAGTGTGGGTGCCCGGGGACCCCGGAAGGGGCGGATGAGGGGTCTGGAGTCTGGGGAACCGGGGAAACAGCCAGGATCCAGGGCTGGAATCGGGGCTGAGTCTTGAGTTCTATTTGGATGGGGGTTCAGATAGCGGGTCCCCAGGGGTCTCGGCCCCAGGGTCAGGGTTGGGTGGGTCCCGGGTCCTCCGAGCCGGCTGACCAGGGCCTGGTTTGAGGCGGAGGTGCGAGCCCCGGGGGGCCCAGTCCTCGGGGCCCGGGGTCTCAGGTCGGGCTCTCTCCGGAGGCCCGCCCCCCGGCGTCCGGGTCCGGGGCGGTCGGGAGGCCGGGCGGGGCCGGGGCCCGCGCGGGGGCGCACTCACCTGCAGGCGGCGCAGGTAGGCGGGCGGCACGTAGCCCGTCTCCCCGCTGCGCGCCCGCGCCGCCAGCCACCAGTGCGCGCTGCTGCGCTCCAGCACCAGGAACGTCTCGCCCGCCGCGAACGCCAGCGCGTTGGGCTCCGCCGAGCGGAACGCGTACAGCGCGCGGTACATGGGGCCGGGCCGGGCCCCGCCGGGCGGGGAGGCGGTGGCGGCGGCGGCGGCGGAACCGGGACCCAGGCCGCGAGCAACGCCGGGCGCCCCGTGACACACGCCGCGAGAGCGCGCACGCCGCCCGCCCGCCCCGCCCCGCCCCGCCCCGCCCCGCGGGGGCCACGCACGCCGGCGCCGCGCCCCCTGGCGGCCCGGACGGCTGAGTCCGCGGGCCCCTCGCCGGGGCCTCTCCACTCCCGGTCCCTGTCTCCGCGCGCCCCCGCCCCGCCCCGCCCGAGCGCTTTGGCCCCCAAGGAGCGCTCCGACGGCCGCCCGGGGAGGAGTGGGTCCCACCCAACCGGCTGGACGGCGACCTCCAGGGCGCGGTCCCTGTGTTGGCCTCTCTGCTCGGACCCTTGGCCCGCGGGCGCCAGGTCTCAGGCGTGTGTGTCTTCCGGCCCCTCCTGGGGTGGCAGCCCCGGGCACCGCCGCGCCAGGGTGGCCGTGGGGAGCGAGAGCGAGGCGGGTCTTAGAAACAGAAACCAGCCCGGCTGGTGGGTCAGCCGCTGGCATCCACCCAGGAACCAGGAGGTCATTGGTTCGGTTCCGGTCAGGGCACAGGCCCGGGTGGCGGGCTCCATCCCCAGTGGGGGCGTGCAGGAGGCAGCCGATCCATGATTCTCATCATCGATGTTTCTCTCTCTCCCTTTCTCTCTAAAAACCAAAAGAAGTGTATTATTAAAAAAATAAACAATAAAAACAGAAACCATGTCGGGCCATCCCAGTCCCAAACCCCCCCCATCCTGCTCGCACCCCGCCTCCTCTCTCAGCAGCTTCCCCTTCCGCTCTCACGTTGTGTTTTCAATCCTCAGAGGATATTCTTTCCCTTTTCAGAGAGTGGAAGGGAGAGAAGGAGAGAAACATGGATGTGAAAGAGACACCTCGACTGGTTGCCTCCCACAGGAGCCCCAACCCAGGTAGGGAGGGAACCGCAGGTCCCTGACCTGCGACCCTTTGACCCTTGGGTGCCTGGGCCAGCCATCCAACCCCTGAGCAGCGGGGGCCAGGGCTCTGACATCGGACCCACTTCCTCCTTCACAGCGTCAGCCGCTCCCCAGCTGCCTGCAGGTGTCACCCTGAGGGTGGAGTGGGTGCCTTGGAGCCTGAAGGGCAGGTCTTTGAAGTGCGGGAGGAGGGAAGCCGGGAGAGGCCCTGAGGGTCTGCAGGAGGGGTCTCTGGGGCCCTCCCATCTCTGCCCCGGCTGGTCCACCCACATTCCCCACTGAAGCCTGGGCCGGGGAGCAGGGTTGGGGGCCCAACCAAACCAGGGTGTGCGCGCGGCCTGTTTTTGGACGTCGTGGACAGAGGAATACTGGGCCTTGGAGAGGAGATGCCGGGGGTCCAGGGGAGGGGTGAGACTTGCTAAAATATGGCACTCAGACCCTGTGCTCCCTGGTGTCTGGTTCTGCAGTTCAAGACCTCCTGCCACACACACCTCCTCCCAGAAGCCCTCCTAGCACCGAGCACAAGCTCTCCTGGGGCTGCCCTGGCTGAGGGACCAGACGGGCGCGGTTGCCGGGGCCCAGGGATGAATACTGCAGTGACGGGTGGTGAGGCCGAGAGCCAACCTGCCCAGGACACCCCTCATGGCACAGCCATCTCCTGGGACCCTTCACCACAGAGCCCATTGCTGCCAGCAGCCGAGCCTGGTGGCTGCCCCATATTGGTTCCGAGTCCTCTGACATCACAATGTCCAGCCAATGAGCTGCTGCCACGTTTGGCTTAAGCTGCATGAGGGCAGGAAGACCCGTCCAGAGTCCAGTGTAGTTCTCTCCAGAGGCGCTGGGACACTCCGCTAGCGGACCCCACAGCAATCGGCGAAGGTGATCCGTGTCGGGGTCCTTTGGGGGTTACCTCGGGGTGCTAGGTTAAGAGACTGAGGACCAAGCCAGGAGGCTGTGGTGACTCGAAGGCCCATGGAAGGGGCCGGCGTGGTGGTCACAGATGAGGAGGCTTCTAAGGGTTGGAAGGGGAGCTGGTTGTCTGCCTTTGGCAAGAAAGACGGGGGGTGGGGGTGGGGGTTAGAAAGGTGAAGGGGGCAAATGGTGATGGAAGGAGACTCGACTTGGGCTGGTATAAACACACAATATACAGATGATGTTATTATAGACTGTATATCTGAAATCTATATAATTTTATTAACCATGTCACCCCAACAAATTCAATAAAAAAATGACAGCAGCACTGTGTACAATGAACAAAGGGTCTGTATTAGGACAGTTACACTCAGGGAAGAGAGGTATCTGCTCATCGAACATGGAATGTTGAAGAAACAGTAAAATAAATAGACTCGGAGGGCGGTGGGGCCGGCTCAGGCGGGACTCGAGGCCTCTGTGGTCAGCTCCAGGCTGCAGAGGCCACCCCCTGCCCACACTGGCTTCCTCCTGGACGCAGCACAGCTGTGCCCGGGACACGGAGGGTCAAGGACCAGTACAGTCGGCCAGCTCACTCCCCACTCTCCTCAGTGATCTCTGTGACAATGTCTATCAGGCTCTGGAGCCCGAAGATGTAGCCAGCATCCTGGCCCTCGTGCACGACGCTGTCCTCGCCGTACAGCCGGCAGGTGGTGTGGGCAAAGTCAATCATGCGCACGTCCACGGAGCTGGTGCTGAGGGGCTTGAAGGCGTAGGCCCCCGCCGACTCGTCAGCGGACTCCTCAGACAGGTCCTCCAAGTCCTCCGCGTCCGAGTCCAGGGCCACCTCCGGCCGCTCCTTGCCATCGTAGATGATGAGCAGGGAGCTGGAGTAGAACCGGTAAGACTCCTGTCGCTCCAGCACGGCCTTGAGCTCCGCCAGCTTCTTGAGCACAGGGCCGAGGAGCTCGCGGCGCAGGTACCGCCCGTTGTGGAAGAACTGGAAAAGCGCCTCCTTAAAGCCCTGCACCGACAGCTTCCGGCCGTGGTACTTGTTCATGAACATGAGCTGCCCACTGCCCGCCTGGTACACCTGTGGGAGGGAGACCAGCAGGTCAGGGCTGACCGCCACCTCAAAGCCGGGCCCCTGGGGCGTGGCTGGGATAACAACAGCCCTGCATCAATCAGAGTCTCTAACCTGTTGAGTCACAGGAGACGATGTGCTTGCCAATCAACACCCAGGATACAACCCTCTGACGTGGGTTCTGCCCCCAGCTCTGTGTTCAGTATATGGTTGATGGAGAGGACCTAACCCTCTTGCCTTGCCCACCCCCTCCTGTCCACAGACTTTGGACTCGGCCAGCCAGGCCAGCCCCAGAAGGGATGACCCAGGCATGCGTGCTTTCTTTTCTAACCAGAAAGTGTTAGTCAAATCTGGTCTCTTTTGAGAAAACGTAGGACTATGCCAAGGTAGGGGGGCGGCAGCCCACGCCATGCACCAGCTTTCCTCACCTGCATGCCGCACAGGCGCACACCAATGACCGCAGAGGTGCTTTGCTGGCATTTTCGGATCTGGTTGGCTGCCTTCTCCTCTGAAGCATCGTCACCATGCTGGCGTGTCCCCATCTTGAGGTCCAGGACACAAGGTACCTCATATCGGGAAGTGAGGTTCTCCAGTAAGATAAATTCTGAGTGGTTAAGGAAAACACCTTCTAAAGAGCAGGTGCTCTGCAAGGGCCTTTGGCACTCCACTCCCAGGGCACAATGCCTGCACAGTGCCCAGAGAAGCCCAACACGACAGAGGGCCCACCAGTCCTGCCATCTCCCACACAAGGAGACCAAGGCTGACAACTGGGCTAAAAGGCACCCGGACTGTGGGCTAAATCCCCAGTGGGGTGTGCAGGAGGCAGCCGATCAATGATTCTCTCTCATCATGGATGTTTCTTTCACTCTCTCCATTCCTCTCTGAAATCAATAAAAAATATATTTAAAGAAAAATAAATGTGTCTTTCCCAGCTGCATACACTAAAAACGTCTAGAAACAATGACCAGATGCATGATCCCCCCCAACACAACATGAAAATGAAATTAAAATCTCAGGGACCATAAACAGTTTTACTGGAACACAGCCATACTCATTCATTTACTATTATGGCTGCTGTCATGCCACAGCGACAGTTGTGACAGAGTATGTGGCCTGGAAGACCTAACGTATTTACTATTTGGGCCTTTAACTGGAAAGGTTTGCAGTCCCTACCTCAGAGGAATGGTTAAGTTCACATCTGGAGCCGGAAACATACATGACCGTGGACTTCTTTCCAGAAAGTAAGACAGCTATTACAGACTATTGTGACTGTGTCCAAGGGACTCAGGAGCTTATTTTAAAAGCCTCCTACTGGCAAAGGCGTGATAATTTGAGCATCAATAAAGACAACTGCAATGAACGGAAACATGTCAAATATGTTTAAATTAATGGATTAATACTTATGCTAAAAAACTCACTGGAAACGTTTGGAGGATGTCAAGAAACCAACTCATTATTCCAAATACATCTCTAATAAATGGAAGGAATTAATCTGCTTTTCCTATATAAAGTATACCTCAGGATAAGCACGTAGTTAATGAGGAAAAGTTTTTCTTTATAGTAGGATTCCAGCTTATGAATGAAGGAATGTCAAAAGCAGAAAGTCACCTAGTGAAAAAAACAGATCTAAGGACCCATACAAAAGAAAAGGCAACTGAACACCATGCTTCTCGGTGGACACCATGTCTGAGGCTCTGGTCCCCACCCCACCCCCACCCCAATTGAACCTGAATCTGATCAAGCCTGTAGATAAAATGATCAACTTAATGGAAACAGAGGAGACGGAGTAACATGTAAGATACCGAAAGGATGTAATCAGTAAGACCCAGATAGTAGGAAACTCTAGGAGACCCAATTTCTTCAACAAGAAATTTCTAAGAAAAAACAAGAAGGGTACTTAGAAAACCTTACACATGTCAACCAAAAGCAACATGTGAACCTCATCTACATCCCCCTTCAAGGAGACTATCAACACAAAGCTTACTCAGGAGACAATTAGGAAAATGTGGACAGAAACTAGGGATTTCATAGGAAGGAATTACTGTCCACTTTTCCAGGAGTAGCAATAGTAATAATGTTTTAAATACCCTTATCTCGCCCTAACCAGTTTGGCTCAGTGGATAGAGCATCAGCCTGCGGACTGAAAGGTCCCAGGTTCGATTCTGGTCAAGGGCATGTACCTTGGTTGTGGGCACATCCCCAATAGGAGGTGTGCAGGAGGCAGCTGATCGATGTTTCTCTCCCATCGATATTTCTAACTCTCTATCCCTCTCCCTTCCTCTCTGTAAAAAAATCAATAAAACATATTTTAAAAAATATATAAAAATAAATAAATAAATACGCTTATCTCTTAGAGATGCATGCTGGGTGTACACAGGGGCAACGCTACACCTGAGACTTGCCTCTGAAACAGTTCAGTTGTCGGTGCTGGGTGTACATAGAAATGACATGGGTGGGTTTCCTGCCGAACCTGGGTAATTGGTACTTAAAGGTTCAACATGTATTATTTTTAACAGGTTTAAATTTTTCCCTAATAAAATGTTAAAAATAAAACACACTCAATTTTTTTTCCCCACACACACTCAATTCTGAGGAATTTCCCCCCATAGGATTAAAAAAAAAAAAAATCAAGCCCAGCTGGTGTGGCTCAGTGGTTGAATATCGACTCATGAACCAGGAGGTCATGGTCAGGGAACATGCCCGGGTTGCAGGCTCAGTCCCTAGGAGGGGGTGTGCAGGAGGCAGCTGATCAATGATTCTCTCATCATTTATGTTTCTATCTCTTCCCCCTTCTCCCTTCCTCTAAAATCAATAAAAACATTTTTAAATAATCAATGAGCACATAGCTTGGTGGGTAAGAAGGGAGATAAAAGCGGCCTGTGCTTGCCTCATGGGTCAGCCTGGAGAAGGGGATAGGCAGGTCAGTCCGCCCCACCTGACCCTTGGCAGGGAAGCTGTTTGGGGACTTCTGTAGGAGTCTCAAATACGAACCTGCCCCTTGCACTCTAGGCTAAAGGCCTCCTGATGCAGACTGGTCCCTAACTAAGAAGCCGCTCATCCCCCAAAACCTCTCAAACGGCATCCTCATTTGCATTCCCAGACCAGCCCTTGGCCTGAGGGCAGTGACTTTGCGCACAGCTGTCACATAGTAGTATGCTGGCACAACCAGGACTAACAGCTCACACCCTTCTCTCCCAGCTCCAAGGGGCCCCTCACCACCACACCCCTCCCCCAAGACAGAGATGCTCTGTAAACAAAGGATACTGTACTGGTTCCGATGCTTTGCATTCTCCTTCATTCTCTGTAACTGTTGCTGGTGACACTTCATGCTCCAAGGGTTATAGTATTTAAGCTGGGAACTTACATTCCCCTTTTTCTCTACACTGTAGTACAAGACTTCAGATTTCTTGAGCCACTCAAATTCTTCTTCTAACTTATGGCTATAAAGAGATAAAAAATCAATAAATCACATTGTCTTATCAAATTCAGGGCCAAAAGAAGCACAAAGGAACTTTGTAGAGTGATGGGAAGTTTGATGTCTTGATATGGTGGTTTCATTGTACATATCAAACACTTTAAAAAGGTACATGTCACTGTATGTCTATTATACCTCAGGAAAGGTGATCTTTTTTTTTTTTTATTAAGAGGCCAGCTCACTGTTTTTCTACAGTAAGGAGAACCTATGATGCAAGAACAGCCTTTGCCTCCCCACTAGCCCCACAGGCAGCCTACACAGCCTTCTTCAAGGCAGTACCACCCTGGTTTCTGGTACGTCCAGGTTCCCTGACTCCGAAAGCTGGAGACTGGGGAAATCGAAACTGAAACTCCATGGCCATAAGCCAGCCTACTAACTATACTACACAGGCCTCAATTAGTATGTTTACAAGCTCTCCAAGGTGTGGCACTCAGAAGGCCCCGCCGAGGTGGAATCCTGAGTTGAGGGGATGCCCAGCAGACCATTCTCTCCCACTAGCAGTGACCAGCCTGAACCCATGGCCGTCTTAGGACAGCTACATCCCCAGGGCGCAGCAGGGACGGGCACTGAGGAAGGTGACTGAAACCCTTCTACAGCCGCCACCACAGCCACTTCTCCAAACGTCACAATGTGATGCAGGGAAGCTACGCAAGCCACTGAGTGACAAGGCACCTACTAAGTGCATGAAGTGCATCCTTAGGTCCAGGGCACTGAGCTGCAACTAGGATCCCCCACCACCTCCCTCCCAGAGTTCAGGGTTCCCCTCAGCTTATACCCACCTCTTCATTTTCTCCTCCTTCCAGTGCTGCCGCACCCAGTCCTTGGGGGTCTTCTCTGTTTCAAGGACATGATGTTTTTTGTTTGTCCATCTTAGGAGCTTACTTTTTGGTTCACAGTCTGAATTGTCTACACTGTCCACGGCTCCGTGGTCCCCTTTTAAGGGATATGCTATTAAGCACAAGTTTCTGTCTTCATCTTCATCAAAGCACACAGACACCACACCTAGAAGGGGGGTAAGGAGCAGAGAGGACTATTAATTGCACAGAAGCAGAGAGAACTTTCAATTCCACATATGTTATAAATAACATGATTGTAACATTTGTGGTTTTCTCTTACCCTGTTCCTTAGTCTCTCTGTTGCCAGAGGCCCCAAACTCATCTGCAAACCTAACAAATATCAAAACACTAGAAGAGATGACACCACACAGACAAGCAATTAGGGAGCAAATACAGCCGAGGCTTCCTCTCTGATGCACTCAACAAGGCAAGAGCCAAATAATTACAAGACACGCTTTTCCATCATTGAAAACGTTTATTAATTTTTATGTAATCCTTCTACTCCTAAGAGAGGTGGAAAACATTTGCTCTTTATATCTTGTGGGGATTTTTAATGCCCTAAACAGAAACTCCAATGGCCTCAAGGCCTGCTTTATAGCAGAGCCTGAACACGGGAACACAGGTGTGCCTGAGGGGGTAAGAAGCATCCAAGGGTAAGGAGAGACTGGGCAAGCAAAACAAAATAAAGGAGCAAACAAAACAAACCACACGGCACAACAGACACCCTAGCAGAGGCTTCTTGCGGCACCCCCATACAGGTGGGCGCCCCAAGCCTCTGTCCTTCTCAAAGGTTATTTTATTGGTCTCTTGAGATCTCATATCACAAAAGAACAAAATAAACACAAGGCAAATAGGGCTGGGCTGGGGGTACAGATGGTGGTGCCTGGAGAGCAGCTCTCTCCCCCTTCAGTCTCTAGCACCTGCGTGTGTAATCAGTCAGTCTCTGAGGAGGGTTTGTCAACTGGCAGCATTTCAGCAGGTGTCGACGAGCGCCTTACAACCGACTGGCTGGACACCTTTCCTCCCAGGCCTCTCTGGCCCAGGATCACTCAATGTGCTCAGTCCTTGCTGCCCGCCCGCTGCAGGGGAATGCGTGCTCAGAGAGAGACGACACTGCTGAGGTGGTCCCCGGCTCTGGGCGCACAGGAGCCGGGGCGGGGATTCAGGGGCCACACTTCCCTGTGGCCATGGGGAAAGAACCAGGGGAAAAAAAGGGGCAGGGCGGCCAGCTAACAAAGGGCCTTTGGCTTTGTCCTGGAAAAAACAACAGAGAAGGACCAAGTGAGGGCCCCCAACTCTCCCGCCCCCACCACAACACACATGCATATTCAGAACAGAGAGGTGCCCAGCACATTCTGTCTTCAAAGAGTGTGTTTCAACAGTCCCAGAAGAGCCTAAGTTGTTCAAGAGTCTTTTGTTTAATCAGACAATACACATTTTACATTAATTTCCTTAATGGATTCATCCTTAATTTACAAAGAACCCCACCTCCCCAGGAAAGAACACACCATGCTGGTGGCTGCTGATGTCCCCCCAAAATGCGTTATAAAAAGGCAGAGTCACCATATGGGAATCGGAAGGCTGCTGTAACATGGCAATTTCAGGGACATTCCGTAACTGGGCTTCAGCTAGTCAGCACTGGCCTCCCACTCCTGCATTCCATCTGACTCAACCTGCTCCCGAGCCTACCTAATCACCAGGGCTTCTGGTTTTCTGGAGGACAAAAAGCCGGCCGCAGTATTCTGGGCAAAATCCTCCCAGAGTCTTCCCCCGCTGTCCCTCCATGGAGACTATGGGTTACTGCGATCAAGAGACACTTGAACATAAAACACAACTACACTTTCACCAAAAACCAAAATAAACTCAAAGCAATCCACAAAACAAAAGACAATTGAGCAATCTTACCAGGGCTTGAAAACTGAGGGTGTGAGGTGCTGGGCTGAGGGCCAAGAGGAGGAGGAGGAGGCGGAGGGAAAACACAGGGTGAGTGGGAGGGGTGAAGGCTCTGGGTATGGCTGCCACGGAGGTCACCACGCCTCATATCTCCTCGCCTCACATCTCCTCGCCAGGCGCTGGCGACCCCTACCAGCAGCGGGGGCTCACCTTTGTACTGGGGAGTGAATCTGCGCATCTCAGCTGGGAGAGTCTCGTAGAACTGGTGCTCCCTCGGGACCAGGGGCTTGCACAGAGTCGTCTCGTTGAAGCGGAGCACACAAGAGTGCCCCCCGACCTGGTGGATAAAGGGCTCCAGCAGGACGCCCTTGGCGCGGGGCTCCACGTCCATGGCCCTGAAGGCTGGGCTCATCCTCCAGGGGCAAGCAACAGGGAGAAGGGGGAGGCAGCAGGGCCCAGCGGCCAGAGCGTCCTCCGTCTGTCTGTATTGGCGTGTCTGGCCTTGGCTCCTTGGTTGCACACGACAGGACGCTCTGCGGGAGGCAAACAGTGGCAGGAGTTGGAAGTGACCTGGGAACGGCATCTGCCTTAGAGCCGCATCTGCCCTAAAGCCCTCCACCTCCAGCAGCAAGACAAACAGACTGAGCTCACTCAGAGTGCGGCCCACATCACCCTCCACGGCCCCGCCTCCTCCCACAGACACAAACAAAGCCTGCTGGGCGAGGCCTACACGTAGGGACTGGACTGACTCTAGGTGCCTCTAAACAGCCCTTCTTAGACAGTGCGGGGCAAAACGTGAAGCCACAATGAGGGAAAGTCATCATTTCAAACCTAATATTCCGATTAAATCTTACTATTTTCTAATAAAATTGTTAAACTGAAGGTAACTGATGTCCAAGTCTCTGTTAATTATATATTTTTCAATAAACTACTTTTTAGATAAGTTTTAGGTTCGAGACAAAATTAAGAGGAAGATAGAGAGATTTCCCATATAACCACCTGCCCCCACATATGCATGGCTTTCCCATTATCAACACTCCCCCCCAGTGCAGCACATTTATTACAAATGAGAGGCCCGATGCATGACATTCGTGCAAGAGTAAGCCTTCCTTCCCCAGCTCCTTCCGGCACCCAGACCTGGGCTGCTTCCCTGGGGCCGCCTGCAAGCATTCGGACCCTGGCTGCTTCCCTCGGGCCGCCTGCAGGCACCTGGGACAAGGCTGGCTTCCCTCCAGCCCCAGCTTCATCAGGAAGGATGTCCGGAATGACGTTCAGTCTGATTATCCTATTACCCTTTTATTATTATAGATTATTATTATAGATGATGATAAACCTACATCATCATAGCTTACATTCATGTTCACTGTTGGTCATTAATTAGGTTTTTATAAAATGCACTTAAAGGGAAAAACTGCTTCCACGCCATCTAGTAAGATTTGCTTCCCCAGGGCGTCCAAACACACCGCCCCTATCCAAGGCCAAATACATGACCCAGCACCCTTATTAGCGGTGGAGCTTGGCCTTGCTTTAATGATTAACGTCTGTATCTAAAAACAACTGATCAAGGCTGCCCGACTCCCTTTAAAAAGATACAGTGTTCTAGGTCACCAACTATTTTTATCAGTTCTATCCTGATCTCCAAAAGCTGGGACAGGCCTTTAAACCAAAGCTGTACTCCCGGGGCAATCACAGCTCGCTCCCATGCTGAGGCCAGGGCCTGACAGCTGACTTCACATTCCCAAACACCTGGATCGCAGCAAAGCCCTCCTCTATGTAACTGTTAACAGTGTTAGGGCAAGTCTGTTTTTGTTTTCTGTCTGTAATTTACGGACTACAGTCACTCCTAGCATTACTTCCAGGGCTTGGGCTACCCTTCAGTTTCTGTACAGGGATTCTTACTGTCCTCTTACTGAGGACTCCTCTGGTTCCCATGACTCCCACAGAGATGGTGGTGGTGAGGATGGCCTGCGGGAGATGTGTCCACTGTCCTCTAAAGGGGGTAAAGCCCCTATTATGTGCCGGACTCACTGCAGGATCAAACCTCATTTAGTCCTCACCATACCTTCTAAGAGGTGGATGCTACTCTCCCTGTTGCAAACAATGAAGCTGACTCGGGGAGGGAAGCACACTCATCCACAGTCACAGACAGTAAGGCACAGCTCCCCAATGAACCTCACGCTGCTGGATGCTCCCACATGGCAGCCACCAGGGCCAGGGCCTCCGCCTTGGCATAGCGCTCCTCCGTACTTGGGACATTTAGCGTGTCCTACGAGAGTGCTTTCACTATGTATTTATAGTACCTATTTATAAAACACGCCATGCGCCACTGAACACAAGGGTACATTCTGAGAAATGCATCAGTAGGCGATGTTGTCACTGTGCGAACATCAGCGTGCACTTACACAACCTGGATGGTACAGCCCACCGCACCCCTAGGTGGTATGGTGCAGCCTGTTGCTCTAGGCTACAGCCTGTACAGCGTGTTACTGTGCAAAACAACACGAGATTAAATCACACACAAGAGAAAATTACGCGCCCAGCCGGTGTGGCTCAGTGATTGAGCACTGACGCATGCATCAGGAGGACACCAGTTCGAGTCTGGTCAGGGCCAATGCCTGGGTTGTGGGCTTGGTCCCCAGTAGGGGGTGTGCAGAAGGTGTTCTTATCAATGTTTCTATCTCTTTCTCTCTCTTCCTCTCTCTAAAATCAATAAAAACATTTTTTTTTTAAAAAGAGAATTATGTAATCAAGAGGCTCTGTAAACACAAGATGTGTGACGCTGCTGCCGGCAAAACATGCACATTCTTACAGAAAACCTTTGTGCTTTTTTTTTTAAATAAGCAGAAAGAGTGCACTCTAAAATAATGATAGAAAGTACCGCATAGTAAATATATAAACCAGTGACAGCCTTTTATTATCTTGTTAAGCATCATGCACTGTACATAATTGTAAGTAACATGTTTTATACAACTGGCAGCTGGCTTGTTTACACCAGCATCACCACAAACGTGTGGGTAATGTGTTGCACTACAATGAACATGGCTAGAGGTCACTAGGCGATAGGAACTTTTCACTTCTATTATAATCCTAAAGGACAGCCGTCATATATGTGGTCTGTTGTTACTGTCACTGTGTGGCACCTGACTATATAACCTTTCAGAGTTTACACTGGTGTTCATTTCTTCCTTTCAGAGAAAACAGGCTGTGGACCCCAATTAAACTCAAGGGGTAGGAATTAATAAGCTTCCCTACATGCAAAGTGTAGAAAACCAAAGGTCCTGATTTTTTTAAAATACGTTTTTATTCATTTTAGTAAGAGAGGGAGGGAGAGGGAGAGTGAAACATTGATGTGAGAGAAAACCACTGAGCATTGATCAAGTTGCCTCCTGCACAGCCCCTACTGGGGATCAAGCCTGCAACTCAGGCATGTGCCCTGACCGGGAATCGAACCATGTGACCTTCTGGTTCATGGGTCGATGCTCAACCAACTGAACCCTGCTGGCCGGGGCCAAAGGTCCTGATTTCTCACCTGGCACTACCTTCTCATCATCAGAGTAGCATTCAGGAGGGCATGTGCTCCCAAGACACAACACAGGCCATCAGCTCCAAGGGTGAGCACATTCCTGTCATTCCAGACTCTCTCCATAAGGTGGCGCTCTGATATGCTTGGCCACACAGGCCCCTTCTCAAGATCTGAGGAGGGTGGTTCCCTCTCTCCTACAGAAAAGGCCTGGTGAATAAGAGCAATTCCAAAGGAAACCTACAGACTGACTCATGGTGAGGCTGCTAGTACCCCAGCACAAACCGGGTACCATAACTATTAAACTGTGAATATCTAAAACACTCCTCATGGGCCAGACTTCAGAAACATAATCCAAAAACCTTTCCTGAAAGTGTACAAAACTACTTTTGTTACCAGAGCAATGCTAACAATACAAATCCCTTTCCACCTGTTCAAGATTCCTTAAACGTATTCAATTCAGAAGAAAACTATCTTTCCATATGTTTCTTATCCATCCCCACCTCCAATGACAAACCTAAAACAAACAAGTCCTTTGAGCAGCTCCCTATAGAGGATGGCTCCTGGGTGTGTCTGGAGGCTGAGAGGCCGGGTCGGGGTCCCTGCCTCCTCCCAGGTCCTCAGTGTGCTCACAGCTGCTGGGATGATGTGGCACCTTACCCCTCCCCGCAGCACCCAGCTCTGGCAGTCCCCAGGACACGACTCTCCAGAGAGTCATCATCTTCCTGAGCAGAGAGGCAAGAAAAATAAGGCTCATTCTCACCTGAGCCAAGTCTGACGACAGAGGAAACTCCCAGTGGGAGGCGGAATTATACTGCAGTGAGGTGACTGGATTACTTGGAGAAAATCCCCATTAAGGTTTACAGACTTGTTTTCTGATGTCTAAAATAGGAGAGGGCTGGAGTAGATCTCTACTCTGTGGGCTGAGTAATCAAATTAGTGTTTTAATCAAAAAGGAAAAACAAATAAATGTCAATGTACTGCACAAGTAAGGTGAGTCCTGTTTTGTGATTCTTTTATTTCAACTGTGTTCAGTCTCTCTTTAGGAACGTAAGTATGTCTTCACTCTACAACATATTCCCCGGGCCCTTACAGGCCCCATCCCTGTAGGGAAATGAAGGATCGACTTCTCTCGTAGCCTCCAAAGAAAAGTACCCCAAGCACCTGCTCTGCGTCCCCGGCTACTCTCTCCTGTTCCACGTGCGGTTTGAGCAACGGGGTCGCTTAACGGTTTTCAAACATCTGAGTCTAAGGCCTAGTTCCCCAGAACTTGGGGTGTAACTGTTACTATGAGGTCCATGCAATGGATAAGCCCTGTATCTAGAGAGCTACGGGATACCATACAACACTGGCTTCAGGTTTATTATGTTTAACTTTCTATATTACCTCACACATTTGTCCACGAAACTATGAACAGCTAAGAAACGCAGCAGGAGTCATCCTGGGCTAGGACAGAGCTTTCTCCCACAATTCATTCCCCTCCATCTATTAAACTGGATTAGGGATCTCCTGGAAACAGTTTATTAATATTCTTAACTTTTAAAATACTACAAATAAAACAGCTATGACTCATGACAGCCCCCGGGCCCCTAGCTCACATACCTAGAATTTCGTTAATGAGGCTACAAACGGGATCTGCTGGGGCTGCGACGCTGCCTCCAGAAAAGCCCCAAGTTTGGGTAGACACAGGGGACAATGTGAGCCCACTAGCCTGATGGCGGGAAAGCAACCCTCACCACCCGGCCCCTCCTCTCCGTGAGCTCTCGCGTGGCCCCAGAGCCGCTGCCTGGCACTGCACACATCCACACCCCCCACAACTCCACCACCAGTGTCGGTCATTGGCACTCTCAAACACTGCTGGGAGAAATACAAAAAATTACCACCACTTATAAAGTTAAACATATACTTATTATAGGACCCAGCAATCTTCCTCATAGGTATTTACCTAAGAGAAATAAAAACAAATGCCTACACAAAGAATTGTTACAAGAGGGGTAGGGGGTGGTCTAGAAGAGATTGGGGGGGGGGGGGGGGAGGAACATATGTAATACTTTCAACAATAAAAGATTAAAAAAAAAAGAATTGTACATGAGAATGTTCATAGAGGCATTCTTCACAACAGCCAAAAGGTAGAAACAACCAATGCCCATCAAATAGGTGAATGAATAAACACATTGTGGTATAATGGAATATTCATGAAAAGGAATGTATTGATAGGTGCAAAAAGAAGATTAATCACAAGAACATTATGTTAAGTAGAAAAAGTCAGTCACATAAGATATACTGCGAAATTCCATTTATCTGAAATTCTAGAAAAAGCAAAACCATAGCAGCAGATAAGCAGTTGCCAGGCAACAGAGGTAGGGGACTAGGACTGGCTACAAAGGGGCACAAGCGAACTTTCAGATGTAGTGAAGTAGTCCATGCAGTCACTGGGACAGTGACTTTATAAGTTTGTCAAAACTCATCAAGTTATAGACTTGAAGTTTATATTATTGTAGAGAAATTATACTTCAATAAAGGGAATTTTACTTATACATTTTTAATCTACAAAATTTTCATAATTACGTATTATAATAATCAGAAAATGTACTTTGAAAGTATAATGGCAGTGTAACAATTTCCATACAAGTGCACCGGCGGGTATTGGCCTTCCCATCCGTTCCAAGGGAGCTCCTGGGCCTCACATTGAGTATCTGGCATCACTTGCACCAAGGTCAGTCTGAGTCACCATCCTGGTCAAAGAAGGGCTTCTTCTCTCCTGGGAAGGTGCCCCTGACGCCAGGGACTTTCAGGGACAGCCATGTATTTCCTCATAAATCCAAGATTCCCAGTCAGGGCACATACCTTGGCTGCAGGCTCCTCCCCAGCCCAGGGTCCCTGGTTGGGGCAAGTGCAAGCAGCAAACGATCGTGTTTCTCTCACGTCAGTATTCCTGTCTTTCTTTCTCCCTCCCACTCTCTCTAAAAATCAGTAGAAAAATATCCTCAAGCGAGGATTAAAAAATAAATAATAAAAACAAAAACATGCTTTAAAACGTCATCACGAGTGTGATCATCTGCTTACTTTTTACTGTGCAAAAATATCTTCAACTGAAGGTGATTATCTCAGGAGGTAAAGCAACTTTAATTAAAGGGGATATTCCTCCCCAGTGCATCCCCTTTAGGAGCCAAACAATGGAAAATTTTCACCTCAGCAAGCGGCCTGGGGAGGCGCAGGCTCCGCCCAGTTGCCTGGGTACGTGACAGCTCTGGTGCTCACAGAAGCTCTGGCACCTCCTGCAAGGGCACCAGCAAGCTCATCAGTCAGCGCTGTCCCCTCCGCACACATCCACCGCTCAGGCAGGGGCAGGGCTGCTATCCAAGTCCACCTGTCACTTTCCAAGCCTTGAATCACAAAAGTCTATTACATCTGCTAAGCTCATTTTACAATTATATCAACTCTCGTCCTAGGTCTCATTCATTTGATTTCTAACAATAACTGTGAATTCTACTCTCAAATCACAAAGCCAGTAAAACAATTGGAGTAATAGCTAACAGTTCCAAAGGATGATTTTTCCTCCAAAGGAAAAGTTACTAAGCAATCAACTGGC